GCCAGCTGATGTCTCAACTTGCAAAACATCCTGTGGACAAGAGCTGCAATGCTAATTTTTTCATTATACGGAAAAATAAGTAGTAAACCTGCTCTTTTTTTCATACATGGCACCCAATTATTTCCCATGTGGATCCTAGTAAGTGAAAATGGGAAAGCTCTGTATTTTAGCTGCTTTACCATACAATCTTCTATGTCCTTGTCATATATCTTTATTCCTGACACCTCTTTCTGTAAGTGAAGATTCCATTCCTTTGCATAAAGAAACTGCTACATCCCTTTCATCATCACTTTTATCCCTCCCTGTACTTCTGCTAGATCTGGTATAACCTTTGAGAGATACACAGAAGATCCACAGCTATATACTCCAACGTAATGATACTTGCTGACTTATTTCCCATTTCTCATTTTTAAATCTGCCTCACTAGACACAAGTCTGCAAGTGCTGACAATCTGCCTCATATTCAAAGCAAACTCTTGATGTTAAATGTCAGGGTTTGCAACCTCAAGACAGCAATTTCTAAGCCGAGGTGCCCAAACAATCAGCAGCAAACTACTTATTTGAAGCTAGCTTTTCCTCATGTCTACCTGCTCAGCATTATCAGAAAATAACTGATGACATTCATTAAACATATTCTTCACCTGAAATACCTCACATGGGCAATTGCTTTAATTACTAAAGGGATGAAAAGTAATTACAGAGGAAAATTCTGCAAATTCAGTCTAGGCAAGACTTCCCCAAGGGGACGTCATCATTATAACACCATCCATGTGTTGCAAAAGTCAGTTGAGGAATCCTTGGTGTCATTGGCTCTCTTCATTCTAAGCTCTTGCTATATGTACAAGGCACAGCCAGATGACCAAGCACCTTCCCCGTCTTGCTTCTGAACATGTCATATACGGGCCCCCCACCACAAATGTGGTCTTCTTTGAGATTTTGAAAATCAATATCCCTTTACAGTACAGTGGATGAGTTAAATACGTTTCAGTACAGCACATCAAGAAGCAGAGACAGGACGCTTTGTAATTAAATAATGCCTTACACTGGTTCATGACAACGTAACACCAAGGCGACAGCACCTGCCATTTTCATGCGAAGTAATTTACATAAACTTATTCCTCTACTTCTATACCTCCAGCTGCATTCCATAATTTACACAGACGTACAAATTCTTCCCTCTGACATTAACAAGAGAAACAAGTTGAATAATCGGCTTGCAGTATTAAGTGCATTGCATTTACTACCAAGCAAGCTTTTTCACTTCAGCAGATGATTAATCTTCCCTCTGTGGGTAGAGTACCAGGAGATGCAGAGAAATGACAATTGCTCTCGGCTTCTGGCCATGCTCTCCACACGCTTACCTTGCAACAACAGCATTTGCTGGATCCCTCCAAGAACTGCTCTAATTCATTAACCCAGCAAAAGAATTGGACAGCTTTCTGCCAGGTCAGTGAATTAAAGTGGCTCACGTAAGGAATGCCAGAGACAGTAAATAGGAGTGGGAGTTTGCACTTGGAGCCAGATCTCTCCTTTCTGACAGCAGTGAATCTCTTAGATCAGCTCAGCTGCCAGAGGTACTGCAGCCTAATTAGCATCTCCCCTTGCAGCTAACTGTGCTGGGTGTTTCCATTAGGCTAAGAGCATTAAGGTAAACCAAAAAGGGGGATGGGGGAAGAAACCAGGCAACCCAGCACCCTAAGTGAAATGCTGAGCATCAACTGTTTAAGAGAAGGGCTGCAACAGACAGACCAAGTAGGCCTAATATGGTCCTGTACCTCAGCCTATTTTTAATCCAGGTCTTTCAGCTGTGCTTTGGGACAGTATCAAGAGAAAGGACAGATGCTTGGACATGAAGATTGAGAGGTCTTCCTACCACATGCCAGGCAAGAAACAAAGCCCCACAGATGAGACCTGATCCTAAAATAGAGATTCCAAAATATGAAGCTGTTTGTATTACACCAACTACTGTGCCAATTTCTTTTCCATGCCCCAATCCTGAGACCTCCAAATGCTTTCCACTACATTCAGACCTCCATAACCAAGTTCATCCTAAGCTCATGACACCAACCAGTCATTCCCCTTTGATCAGGGTTTTAGACTGCGTAGGAAGGCATGGACTTCGACTCTCAAAGTTTATTTTACATAAGTTCACTTCTCATCTTTGACCTCAGGCTCCCAGATTACTGTCTATTAACTCAGATACCACCACTAATCTACCACCACTAATCTCAAATCATTCTAGCTAACTAGCCAAATTTCTATGGAAAGGTGCTCCCACACCCTGTATCTTAAGGACCTGGTTACAGACCACACGACATTGCTGTCTAACACCCTACCAACAAGATTAAGCCCCCTTTCTATGAGCAACCTTTAAGCTACCCCCATGTCCTTTGTTACTTTTGCAATTATCCTAAAGGCTATCAGCCTGAAAAGCAGGAAAGGCACGCCATCTGACCACACCTTTTGCTATCTCCCTCTGTCCTGCCAACACGACCAATCACAGGCCTTGTTCTTAAAAGCAACCAGGAAACTTATCTGGCCGGCTGAAGGAATTTCTGAATCATCCCATGGGAGCACAGGCTTCAAGTCAGCAGCTAAAATATCCACTGGCTGTTGAATCTGGGGTATCATCTTCACACACGTGACAGCAGCTGTGCTTGTCAGTCACAATAACGGGAGGGAAAAATCATACCTCACCCATGATGGCTTTTTGCTCTATTTAAGTTAGCACTGTTGTTTGCACAAGATAATAAAATGGTTAAAGGAGAAGATGCCTTAAAGCAAAACAGTCTAAACCACATGGACTGAACATGTGTGTCAAACAAGTAATGGGAGCACACAGGATGGACAAAATGCTTAACATTAGCTGTAGATGTTTAAGATGAAAAAACCAACCTGTTCTGCTGTATTTTAATAACCTTCTTTAACTAGAGTAACTACTGAGCCTTCTTGCTTCCCCTAGGTCCTACATCATTAATCAGCGTACTGACGAGAAGAAAAGTTACAAGGAATTACATCCTAAGGCAGCCCACAGAAACAAAATAATTTCTTAGAGGAGTCCTAGACAGAAAGATAAAGAGACTTGGAAGATCCAGAATGCAGTGGATGTCAAAGTCTGGTCTGTGAAAAGCCCCCGGTTGAGGCACTTTTACCCCTGCTCCCAGAGGTTTCTTCATGTGTCACCACACCTGGGATCCTCTGGGTTTGATCGGTCCCAGCCATAGCAGCCACAGCAACGCCCCTGTGTGGCCCTTACCCTTTCCCAGCCAGCTATGGCCACAAAGCCTGACTCTGCATGCTCAGCTTGCACGTCTTTAACCACATCAAACGGTAACTCCAGACATGCACACCTGTTTCCAACAGCCAGTACAAGTGCTGTGTGTTATTCAGCCTATTTCTTGGATAACCCCCTGCCAGTCAGGCTCTCTCCACAGACTCCTGGCAACACCACTGCCTGCCAGCAGTCTCCCAGCAACACTCCCTCCCGCACAGATGGGCTCCCAGTCCCTCCTCACAGGCTAGCCACAGGCTATGGGCTCCTTGGAGCCAGCATTGGTTGATGAAACACAGAGCTCAGCCCTGCAGAGCCACAGAGATGGCTCCTAATATGGAAGAGGAGCAAGGAAGGCTGGCAAGAGCTTACATCCAAGGTCAAGGCTCACATCATTTCCATTAAAAAGAAATGCTCTTAAGCTCTATACAAGGAAGGGAACAGCAAAAACACACGGGAAAAGCCACTGCTCTGTTTTTCATTCCCTGTTTCCAGCTTCCTCATCCAACTGGCAGTGCCTGAGATAGCTGTTTGCTGGAGATGGGCAACCCAAATCTTATGTGTCGGAATAGTATTGGACAATCTGGTACTAAAACAATGACTTGCATTTCTGCACGCTCCATCAGCTCTAAGTTTTATTTCCTGCCTGGTCTTCTTTCTTTATCTACTTTTTTGTTTTGCCAAGCAAAGCACCCTAAGTTCCTTTTACACACTACCAATGTGCCTTACACAGTTTGTACTCTTTTTCTTCTTCAAGATGCCGAAGTTGTGGCATTCCCAGGAAGAAATCAAAGATATCTTATCAAAGTCATAACCAGTGGCGCCAACCATGCAGCCACTTCCCACTGTGGAAGGAGCAGAAGCACACATCAGGAACCACGAACACTTGAGCTGGCACTATCAGCTCTTCCAACTGTTGGCACTGAATTCATTCAGTACTTACCAGGGGAAAAAAAAAAAAAAAAACCACAACTCTACAAGCCAAACAGTAACTACAAGTAAAACTGAAAGCATTAACAGATTAAATCCGCCCCTGAGCACCAAAGGCTCCCACCATAAGGCTCTTTATTAGGAAGTTAAGTCTTAACAAGTGGCTTAAGGGGTGGATAAAGCTTTTCCTGGGATAATCTGCCAGCATGTTGCCCAGTGCCAGTTCCAGGCCATGGAAAGAAGAAAGAAAATATCTAAGATGATGAAAATCTTGGTTTGGCAAATGGACGACCAGTAGCTGAGAGCTCATCTCCTACCCTTGCTCTCCAAAGCTCCCTGCTGTCTTCAGAAAGTCAAAGAAAAGTAATTTTCTACTTTGTTAGCTTCCTGAAAACAAAACCACATTGGGATTACACCTAAAATGCATGTGCTCACCCTATTTCTTTGTACTGTCAACCCTCCAGAATCTGCCTCCATCACATCTATTTGAACCATTCGCCAATTAACACAAAGTAATTAACACTTTTGAAAGAGACTGTCTTTGGTGACAACGCCACCATGGTAAAAACACCATGATCATGATTTCAAGTACTACTGCTCTCTGCAGGCACCAGTTTACAAGGGGAATATGCAAAAGGAGAAACCCAGTAATGGAAGGTCAGAAGTCACGTTTTGTTTATAATTCTCTCATTTCAAGTCTACTGCTGGTTTGCTGCACACTTGAGAAACAGCAATCTAATCACTGGCTGCTTTTCCCAAAGCCCTGTGACGTTCTGGCTGGGCAGCCCTGTGCACTTACTGCAAGAGATCCGTTCTGCGTGCTGGCCGTGTTCGTGCTCTGCTCTCCATGGGGCTGCGTGCTTCCGTAGAGTGTCAGATTGTGCTCGCTGGTCTGGCCTGCATAGTCCTGAGTGTGTGGCACCCCATACTCTGTGGGAATCCCATTCTGTGGGGGTGGCGGAAATGGGATTGTGGTGAATGGCTGCACCATTGCATCAGGAGTTGCTGACGGCTCCTGGTTACCCTTAAGAAAGGAAAAAGGAGAAAACAGCTTTATACTACTACAGAAGATAGATCAAAACATCAGCCTGAGAAACAACACACGTTCATGTGAATATCCCACCCACCGTCACCATAGTATTCCACAGTCTTCTATTATCTCTCCTATCAAAAAGCACATGCCTTGCTCCTCTGAGCCATGACACTGCTTTCTTAATCTTTTCAGGGCAATTTTCTTGCTACTGGGTGGCATATAGCAAACAAATTACAGGGTTTGCAGATTGCATACCCCTGTGATCTCACACAAAGCTTTACACACAGTAAGGTGTTATTTCAGAAGAGGGAAGACACACTCACACATTGGAACAGAGAAAAACACAGAAGAACAGGGTTTCTCAACATCCCTAGAAGTACCATAACTGGGTCCATCTCCTCCAGCCTGACCCTCACCGCTCACAAGCAAGCCCACAAGCAAGCACATTGTGTGGTTCAGAGCACACCTCTCTGCTACGTTACAGTGATAAAAAGTACAGTTTTTAAAACCCATCTGTGCAGAAGCCCCCTCCTTGCCCTGGCAGCACTGCGTACAGAGCACAGGTATCTGTTGCTGGAATATCCCATTTGCTTCTTGCTGGCCATGCACGAGACACCAAAGAGCTGCAGGGAAACAAGCTGAGATCACAAGCCAGCCACACAGTCACTCTCTCCCAATCCTGAGCATCTCCACAATCACGCAAGGCATTAATTACCCACTCCTCCCTCAGCTCAGAGTATCCCACAGAGACCTCTTGCATAGTGGACTTTTTAGAAGCTTTTAGCACTGTCTTAGATGTAGCTAACACCAATCAGATGACTCAGAAACAAAGAATTGACCATGCAAAAGATATCCCCAGAAGACAATAAAAATGCTACCCCACCATATCAGAAAACCACAAGAAGGAAACAAAAAAGCATGCAGCCCTGCAGCCTCTGCATGGATCTCACCAAGGGGGGAGCTGCATTCAGCCACCTGGGGTGAAGGAGAACAGCCTTGACATTGAAGCCCAACCCTAGGAAGCCCAGGCTGCTGCACCGCTCCTACTGCTTTCACCGCTGCAGCAGAAAAAAAATCCACGGAAAAGATTTATGATAGGAGGGCTGTTTGATTTATGTGCGTGTCAACAGACTAATCCTGATTTTAAATTTTGGCTGCTATTCCAGCCCTGGGTCCTCCCCCACAAAGCCTGAAGGTGCTCAAGGCTATTCTGACACCAGCATGCTTAAATCAATGGAGTAAAAAGCGAAACAGACCTTATCCCGTGGATAGGAAAGGCAGAGTGGGAATTACCAAGCAGCCTTTGAGCAGAGAGCATGCAGGGGCTGACGGACCTCCAAAGAAGCTGGACAAACCTTTCAGTCCCTTTATCAGCCTACCTGCAGCTTTCCCTTCCAGGCGGAGGAAACAATGATAAATGCAGTGCACCTCCAGCCAGCACCGGGTCATTCAGACACTGGCTGAATCCCAAATTTGCTCTGACATTAGTCTATCTGGTCTGCCTCCCCTGGGGGCCACGTGGCCACGCGCTCCTGCAGCTGGGGAGAAGGAGAGGGAAGGGCATTCAATACCACTTAGCAGAGCCGAGCTGCAGCCTTGGCCCGTGCTGAAGAACGGACGGTTTCAAGTCCAGCCTTGCTGCCTGCAGGAACACAAACTCCGCAGCCTTATCTGAGAAAGAAAAAATTCAGGCGAGCCTGCCAGCTGTGGCCAGCGCTCAGCTCCTTGCACGCACTCGCCCAAGCAGTTGCAGCCCTGCGTCGCGTGCTCGCAGCTCTGCAGAGGTTTTTTCACGCACCAAGCACATTTTCTGAAAGCAGGACAGGATTTTTGTTTCCCCCTCAAAAAGGACGGCGGCTCCACCAGCCCTTCAGTTCTGCTCATTCCTTTGCTATTCTCAGCTTCAAAGCAAGCCACTTCTGACTCGACCTAACCCATCATCAAGATCTGCAGAGCGAGTTCTAAAGCAGAAGGCAGGACAGGCAGAATGATGGCCTTCCACTGCAAAACAGGTATCAGTAATCCTATTGCTCACCTGTTCAGACTGTTTATCCCCTGACACGACAGCTCCATTCTGTCCACATACCGTCTCCTTTCCAAACTCTTCTGTTTACAGTATTTCATTGTGTTTGATGGTCTGCGTTCTTCCGTACAGCCCACATTGTCTGCCCCCCTTTCTTACGTTTCAAATAGGAGCTAAATAGGAAACTGACTTTTTCTTTTCAATGAAAAATTTTTCCACAGGAAAAACGGAGGAGCAGAAACTATTTCCAGTCTTCTCATAACAAGCTAGATTTCCAAGCCAGCATCATCCCAGGTCAGAGGAAGAGAATGCTGATTAGCCCCAAACAAAACCTATTCTGCCATCCTGTCAACAGCGCAGGGCTGCTCCCCAAAGGACATAGTCCAGCATTCTGTTCAACCTCACTCTGAGACTGTTTAAAATGCCAGCCCATGAACCTTATATAATCTTACTTTCAATGTTTTTACCCCTTAGTTAATACTGTTCCTTCCAGTTTAAATGCATGTTAATCTTATAATTGAAGAAGGGAGAGAAAATATTTATCTACAAATGTTTAAAGGACAAAAAATGCTTACTCCCTCCTCTGTTGCTTGTGGCATTTTGATAATACGTATTTATTTTGAGTTTAATCACACCTCTCAAGCCAAAATATTTGGCAACTTTTTTTATTACTTCTCTCTGATCTTACTAAGGTTTTTCAAAGAAGGATTTCTAGTGCAGAATAAAATCTTTCTAATACCATTGTCACTCCCTGACTCCTCAAATCACTAACATGCAAAAATCATATCTTTTATTACAAATGCATCCTTCATTTAATGTCTCAGGTTATCTGGAGATCTATCATTATTATATTTGTCCAGGTTTCGTCATCCCATGGACTATCTGTATCTCAAATTATTTTTTCTTGATATGATTATGGATATATTTCCCATCTGATTTTTTTTTGTAATTTTAATTTCCTTTGATGCTTTAGAATTACTTTTTTCTGTTTCCACTAGCGTCAACAGAAAAGGACTCCTGATGAGATCTTTGCAGGTTTCACAGCATACTGATATCCTCCAAACCCAGAGAAGATTCTACCTCTTCTGTTATTCTACCAAATTTCAACATTTACACAACACTCTATATTTTCAAGAGCTAACACAGAACGCACACAAAAAAGTCCCCATTAATCTTCAAACATAAAACTTGAATTCTTTTCCCTACTTCTAAACCACCACATAAAATTCTGCAGTCAGAGGTGCTGCTTCTCACACTTCTCAGGAGGTACAGAGAGCATGGAGAAACCCTCAAATTTATGAGTAAAGAATTTCTATCCAATCTTGACATATCTCACTGCATTGCCAGTCCTCCTTGTTTTAGCTCACGAAGATGTCTTAAAAATGCAACAAGAAACCCAGACAGGCATGTCGAAGAGCAGTCACCATCCCCAAGCTTGCACAAGGATGCTACCACAGGACTAGAAAAACCTGGGTGTGGCTCCCCACAGAAACTACTACCACCTTAAACTTCTGTGATGGCATGAAAAAAATTCTAATCAATGTTCAGGAGCAGAGAGACACCTCTCTTGGCCACAATGCATCAGGCTGGCAGTCTGCAGCAGGTGAACGTGAGGAACATTTGGTTGCAGGAATAATTTTGGCAGTTCCAGATGAACTGATTAGCTCTGCCAGTTTGTGCTGCCATGCACCAACCACGATAGCTGCCATCCCATGCTCAAACTGGGAAAGGCTGTTCAGTGCAAGTGGAACAAGTGAAACAGTGTAATTAGTACACACTCCTTAAAAAACAAAACAAGAACACTTCAAGTACGATATATGTTAACCTATGGTTCAAAGAAAAGCAATAATTCCTGTGTTTTCTATTACTTCTGTTGCTCTGTTCCCACAGAAATCATTCATTCACATCAGGTAGGAATTCAATGCAGCTGCCCCCTTGCAAAATGTTGGCATCTGATTCGTGAGCACCCAAGCCCCAGGACACGAGAAGGATATGGTTACCCATCTGGGCTCTGCTTTCAGGCCCCTATTCTCAGCCCTACAAAGGTCCAGGCACGTCCTCACAGGTGCCAACCTTCTTCCTTAAATCAGGGGTTTGCCTATGCAGATCAGTACAAACCCATCCCACATTTTGTTTAAAAAACAAATCAGCTAAAGCAGTGAAAAATCCCTAATGGAGACACATTTCTAAGAGCTTATGCAGTTTTAAGTTAATTAGTGAACTTTGCAGCTCCAAGCTAAGCACAGGAACGATGAGTAACTGATGAGTAACGGCACGTGGTGGTACCTTGTGGAAGGGTGGGAGCTGGGGACGACAACTCAACAAGGAGCAACATGGTTCAGCAAATGTGACACAGGATGAATTCTTTCAGCAGACAGCAGGTGGTGATCCAAGATCACGGCACTGGAGCGCCAAGAGCGAACACCAGAAATGCACACAAAGGCCTCCTGCTTCCATAAAACTGTCAAAGATCAGCCTGTTCTGTGAAGGAGGAGTTTTGTTTTCCTCATTAGAGAAATGGGTTTAAGTAGAGGGATATGAAAGGAGCCTTATAACAATGCAGCTCCAGATCTCTTCTGTATTGCTATGCCATAATATGCATAGATAGTAAAACCTAAACAGACAAATAAAAATTATACTCCTGGTAAAGCTAAACTAGTACAATTTCTGTATAGATGTGGCAAACTGCCACAAGGTAATCTGTGCTATCCATAACCCCACTGTGAGTCATCAGCATCACAGAAAGGTGCAGGGAAATGGTATGGCAGATAAACATCAAACAATCTCTTAAAAATGCCTTTGAACTCTGCTAACCCCCAAATCACTGGGATAGATGTGAGTATAAGCCTATTAGCAGAATGGGGTTTCTAATACGTATGTCTTCACTGAACTAATTTTATGAATCCTTGAAGCAACTGACTTGCAGCTAACGGAGGCAATTAACCTGTTTGTGAAGACCAGAGTTTCA